TCGTTGCCGCGAGTAAGAGACATAAAAACAGTGATACAGCCAGCAGAACAAAAATTTATTGCCAGAAGTCAGTCAACTTACTTCGCCGACCCTTGCCATGCAACAACTTCAAAGCTCTCCCTTTGCACTGGAAATAGTGGTCCATTGTTAGGTTGTCGTCACGTGCACCGAAGAAGGAGCGAAGAATGTTCAGCGCATCCAAAACAAACCGCGGGTTGGGTTTCTCCGCATGTGTCTCTTCTTAGTCCTCGGTGTCGTCAGCCTCATGCATGCTTTCGATAATGGCCTCGTCGGTCACTTCCTCGTACACGAATACGTCCTCGTCGGCGCGAACGAACGCATCAACAGTGAGTTCATCTGGGATGCCGATGGAAACAGCCACACACAACACAACTCGCGGCGCTCACGTGTGTGAGGCTACAGAAGTGACGAAATGACGGAAGCAATGCACGATGGGATTGTGTCGCCCCCTAATGGTGTCGCTGCAAGGCTGCTTAACATCATGATGATATTGTTGCCGTTCTTTTTCCGTGATCAACGGAGAATCCGCTTCTGGCGTCAAGCTTTTCTCAGGCGCCATTGTAACTTCGTCTCGATTTCGCCACCAGTTCCAGTCTTCTCTTTGTCGTTTTGATTGATTCCAGCTGTTGGTGTTGCTTCGGCCTGTTGAGCTCATCCGACGGCACCATCTGCACTCCGGCATGATCAATTGCCATCGCCTGCTGCTGTGTGGCCAGGCATGTTGCCGGACACAGACTCCATTGCCGATGAAAAATGAAAAATGGCGGTACCCAGGCTAGCGCGGCAAAAGCAGAAGTTTACAAACTTTGAGTGCGCACAACACGCATACGAGCATATTTTCGATAATTTACCTTTGGCGGGAGGGTAAAATAAGGCCCACACCGTGGTAGAAAATTCTTTATTGCGGGATCGCTGTCCAAAAACATTTCGAACGTTCGCCAGAGATCCGGAAATATTTCGTTGCGGCGGGGATTTCGTACTCGCGGGGTTTCACTATTGCGGGTTTCGACTGTATCAAAAGTTCGAAATATAAAATATGCATATTTAGGGCCTAAATTGAAAAATTTCAGGCCTCATAAATTGTTACAAGAGCTAACATAAAAATTCGCTCACAAACAAGGTGCGAACTGGAGGTTACCCCACTTTATTTAGTCCAAAACTTGCCTTGCTTTTCTTGCACGTCGTCAAGTTCCGGACATCCTTAATATCATTGAAACTTTTCAAATAAGCGAACTTAGCTCCTTTGGCCACAAAGTTCATTGACGCAGAACGCCAATGCAAGCTTTATAGTACGAGAAAACCTTGGTTAGCAGTGGAAACGATGGCGTTGGCACATTCATAACTGCCTGTCTACACTTCTGCGGTATCGGCAATGGCAGCCAAAATCTCAGCATTCATGCAGTTAGAAACGTCGTCGTCTGTATTGATGAAGTTGCTACTGTCCGATATGCTGCCCGAAAACGCTGATAAGTCACAGAATTCACTAAGGCATCGTACGCCGTTGTCAGCAGTTATTGCACCCGAAGTCGTCACCAGGCCCGCAAGGAACGTTTACGACAGTGTTTTACTACTTTACGTCGCTCCAAGCGCCAGTCATAACTTTTATCGCTTCGTGCGGGTCAATGTTCAGTTCAACTACCAAATGAGAATTTATTAGGAACGAGGCGAGAAGGCCACAAGGTGCAAAAGACGCAACGCCGAGCTCGTCGGAGTTCTCACTGTCGACATGTTGAAGATATCAATGTCACTGTGGCTTTGTAGCTGGCAGCTGCTGCTTTTAGAGGCTTTGATGCAAAACGATAACAAAAAAGCGTAGCCTCTGGGACATGCGCTATGAAACCAAAAACACTTTAAAAATATGTCACAAGGTTGCACATCTCGAAGGCCCTGCTTTTCAGGCTTGCATGCCATTGTGCACTAACAAACACGGAAGGGAATGCGAACCATATGCGAACAATGCACTGAGATCACCGAGTCATTTCGGATTCTCTTTCAGTGCCTTCGGCAATCATTCTTTAGGAAAACACTAAGCCCGCGCGTTAAGACCTGCAGATCGCGTATCAAACATACCGATGTACACGCAAGTGCCGCGCAGCAAACCAGATCAGTGCGATGAAATGAAACCGTTTTTTTCGTCGCCTGCACGCGAAAAAGGATCGGAACTTGTTAGAATGTGGTCTAAAATTGATTATATTTGCTAGGAAAAATGCACTTGCTGGGCTTCGGTGCGGCGCAGCGTTCTATATACGGGTGCACCGGTCCCATACTTTTTCATTGGAAATTCAAGAAGATTTTTCAACTGTTTGATAGCGAATAAATCTATATATCCGAGTTTGATATATCCAGGATTGACTGTATATAGATATGTATACATATACAGCGAGTGACGGGAACGCCGATGTCGACACCTACGGCAAATCCAGCCAAGAGTGTCCATATAATTACTATCGCAATAAAAGTTTTTTAAAATGTATCTGTTCATTTTATTTCAATGTGCTACAATGTGCCATTGCTGATTGAAACAACGTTAAATCCAGTCATTATATCACAAAATAATGACGAAATAAAAGTCGAAGCATTGTTTCCCAACCTTGCCAAATAGTTGCGAGCAGCGCGACTGTAGACGTCAACCGAACTTTAAAGTCGTGCCTTCTGCGGCAAAGCTCTATCTGTCTAATGCAGGAGAAACCTCTTTGCTTATAGTGCCACACAAACACAGCAGCCTGACAACAAAGGAAGTAACAAACACATGGCCTCCGAGATGGCAGGCGTGTGGTGAGTTTCTACCTCGCGCGCCCGCCATCTCGGAGGTCCGCGACATTTGTGCGACGCTATCTGATGCTGCATTTCTGTTGTCGGGGTTGTAGTAGTGAAGTTCGTTGAGAACATCTGCTGTGCATGGCGCGTTTGGCTGGTATGCTAGCTACACGGCTGGATTTAAGCTTAAAGGGGCCCTCAAACACTTTTTCAAATAACCATGGAATGAATTCGCTGGAAGAGTTTATTGCCTCACGAATTCAATGCCGCAAAAGTTTCAAGAATCCATTCTGTGCAAGTAGAGTTACAAAGGTTAGTTGCATGCTGTAATCACATTCTCTCTTCTCTTGTCCCGACGAAAGGGCTGGAAGCTAAGCAGGGAGGGATAGTAGGGCCCCAGAAAAACGTGACCTTGAAAACTTTTTCTTTTTTTTTCCTTCGAATGTGCAAACTTTTCAGTGTGATCGCGCCCGCACGTGGACAAGTACTGGCTTTTCGCGGCGATCTGTGTAACGAGCAAGCACGCCATGTTCAAATCAGCCAATGGCTGATAAGTGGGCTTGATAAGTGTGATTTTTGGAAATAATCCGTGATTTGTCAAGAGAAGAAAAAGCAATTTTTAGCTGACTGATAATTTATTGTGAATTGTGCGCTATAACATTTGTTGTGTGCTATAATATTTATTGTGTGCTATAATATTTGGCTCGCGTGTTGTCGCGAGCCTCTACTACTGATTGGCAGCATTTTCTGACCATGCTCAAAAGGTGTTGCAGGGCACCTTTAAAGTTGGTCGAGCAAGCCCTGGAGCATGGAAACAGAGCGGTTGGATGACAATCTGGCATTGATCCGTGCTTGTTCGTTACCGGAGAAAACAAGAGCTTCAAGCTACAATAGATTTGTCGTGCATTTCGCGGGCCAGAACAAGCAAAACCGTCATGCCAGACGGTGACCTTTTCTCCTGTGCAATGAATACTCCCCCCACATGGGCTTCAACTTTTCTGAAGAAAAGGTGGGATCATTATGCGAGTAAACACGGTAGTACATTTGAATACGAGTTATGAGTGCTCGCGAGACAGTAAAGTAAATTTTTTTTAAGGAAATGACAACATAGGATATATTTATCTAGAACTTCCCATGAAGAGTTCGCAGGAGTGAGGGTCAAGATTACTCTCCTACACAATGCCACTGACTAATGACCAATAAATATTGAAATGGTGCACGAATGACACTGCTTTAGATTATGTGTGACTAGACGTGACTGTAAACCTGAATCTAGGTAAGGTTAATATTACCTGAATATAGGTAAGGCTGATTATCTAGGAAAAGGCCATGGGTTGGCAAGAGAAGTGTAAGTCACTCAGACTTCCACTTCTCTTGCCAACCCATGGACTTCCTCGGACTCAAATTCACATAAATTTCCTACAAGCGGACTCACTCGGACTCAGACACGCCAAAATATTACTTGCTTGACTGATTTGAACTCATGGCTTGATCTGAGTCTGAGTGAGCCCGAGTGAGTCGACTCAGGCTGAGTGAGTTTGCTAACCTATGCTGTCAGCAGAGTTGGGCCTATTGACGGCACAGAACATTGAAAGCACCTTTTACGAGCGCAGCGCACCATTGTAACCTGATTGAGCATTTGCTTGCAGCTCCTAACCAAAAAGTAATTATATTTTAAGTGATCGTCAAGTCGTGAACACGTCACAAAGTAGTGTTATTTTCGACAGCCATGAGCTCCCAACATGCAAGCAGCAGACAGCGGTCTCATGGAGCGAGGTAATGACAAGGTGAGCTGGGGCAACATGACGTATGCAGCCAATCGGAGGCTTTGAAATGATCTTTAAGTATTCGCTTTCTGTATGCTTCTTTCTGCCATTTTTGCGATTTTGCCACTTTTTGTGATTCAAAAGCTGCGTACACCCTTAAATGTGCACCTAAATCTAAGCCCACAGACCTTGAACATTTCAGACTCCACTGAAAAGGCAGCCGCAATGGCTGGGATTCTATCAGTAGTCGAGCACCCCAACCACTAACCTACCATAGTAAATGAGGGACATGTGTATTACTCATGTCCCCCCATTTTAATCAGATGTAGCTTGTCAATACAAAAGAAGAAAACCCAAGGTCATTTCATAAAACACAGAAGGCTCCAACAGTAAGAAGAAAACAGCCACTGACATCGGCTTGTCTGCACAACAGTGCCAGTAAGAGGAGGCACACACCTCGTCGGGCAGTGAGCGTCGTTTGAGGCAGGAGGGGTTGAACCGGTTCAGCCGCAGAACCTGGATGCCTCGCTTCATGCTCAGGTGGTGGAAGTGATTGGACACCTTTAGGCGCAGCAGGTCATCCTGCGATGCAATTCAGCACAACAGAAATGCTCAGAATCCAGCAAATCGTGTCGCACACAAATGCACTGACTTCCCATCAAGTCCAATGAGGGTTGCTTCAAGTACATTTAACCTTGGTATTCACTAAGCACAAAAAAAAAGTGGGATGCAAAAAACAACAGGACGAGGCGTTTCTTATGTCCCATCATTTGTCTTAATAAGTTTTGATGATGAATGCAGTAGCAGTGAATGCATTTCCAAAGTAGTACTGTTCAGTCAGAAACTAGCACTTCCCCATTGTCTGTGGCAATGTTGCAGTTCTGAAGAGCTGGCCAAACCAAAAGCATGCCATCTTTGCTTGCAGCGGCCAGCGAAAAAGTTTCCGTGGACTAAACAATGAAGCATTTCCTAATGAGTAATGAGAACTCGCAGACTTTGTGCGGGAGCAACGAGCTGCACATCTCGCTGTTTACATCGAGCTGCTACAAGCGAAGGCAAAGGAGATCACCCAAGACAAGGACATTCAGCCAGAGGATTTCAAAGCGAGCAAGCACTGGGTGTCTGTCACACCGGTCCCGTTAATTAGGGAGGCGATCGCCGGGCTAATTCCAAGGGCCGAAGTATCGGCCCCCCGAACCGCACCACGAAAGCGTGGACAATTTAGAAGTGGTCCTTTTTGGCGCGCCAGCGGACGCCAGCTGTGGCCTAAAGAACAAGTCAGAGCCGAGAGTTCATAAACAAACAAAACTATATTCTCAATAATGGCAGATCAGAAAAACAATACACAAATATGCTCACTCCACAATAGCTGAGTACAATATGCCACCGATCAAACAACGTACTACACAGTACAATTAGCCACACTCCAACAACGGACACAGACAACAGTACACACTACAATGCAGTCGCATGCATTGAACAACCAAGACACTTAAAGACTAAAGAGATAGAAAACCTATTCAGTCCAAAGTCCTTGGAACAAAAGTCTGAATGATACTCTTCCGAGAATCACTCACTCAAAGTCCAGCGTTGTTGCCGTTCCGCTGCCCCCTGAAGTTTCTCTTCCAGGAAACCTCGCCGAAGTTTCTCTCCCAGGAAACCTCGCGTCTTCAATCGGCCACTCTCCAAGCTTCAAACTTCTCTGCCGGAAACACGTCGGCTTCCCACACGCAGCTGTTGCCGCGCGTCTTCGCTCGATAGCGGTAAACACACGCTCTTGCCTGTAGCTCGAGCCTTCACCCCTCAGGTGGAAATCCTCTTCATCTCCTGCTTTGTCGCTACGGACAAAACCTTCACCGACTACACGGCGGGATCCCTTCGCGCTCTGGCGCTAACCTCCGTCTTCTCCTGATCTCTCATCTCGGCTGCTCGGTTAAATACCTTGCGCGCGACATTCCAGAAGGTTCTCGTCATTTCGTCGGCGCGATACGCAGCGAAGGCTGGGAAGAGGGCGAGACGGTTGGAATGCCCTCCGCGGTCGATGACTCAACTCGGTATGACCACGCCCCTTTCGTTCTAGAACTTTCGCGGGCTATCTCGGCCGCCGATGTGGGGTGAGGAGGTTCGTCGGCGAAGCCACGGTTCCAAGAGGAGAGCGCGCGCCCGGGGAGCCTTGGATGTTTGTTTTCTTTTTTTTTTCTTTTGACCTCCCAGCGTCTCTTCCGCGCGTTACCGCAAGAATTTGGCGGCGCGCCCATTTTTAGCGCTCGTTCTGTGACACTGCCCCCCACTTTAAGCATATTATCTCATAATATTCAGAACCACACAAACGAGCGCGAACAGTCCCCACACACTCAAAGACTGTAACATAGTCCGTCGCTCATGACACGTCACATTCGCAATAGTTCACTCAATACAATTGTACATTGTAATTCAATTACACCACACATGAAATATAACCACCGGCACATGAGTACAACACTCCACCACACATTCCCAAAAATACAAATGTACAAAGTTCTCTCATTACAACAATTATACAACACTATACATCACATCACAGCACAAACACTTCGACACTTGTGACACAGGATAACACAACATTAACACAACATATGGCACTCAGCACTGCCAAACACATTCTGATTCGACCTCAGCACCTATCCTGTGTATTTCGAGCTGCGCTTGCGTCCTTTCTTGCGGTGCTCGCTCGATCTCTTCTTGTTTTTCCTTGTTCTTTTTCGGCGAGCCTTTTCCAACGACGGTATCTGAGGCAGCGTCTCAGCCATCGTTGTCACTTCCGACCCTGCTAACGGGTCATGACGTTCGACGGGTCCGGTCTGTTTATTTACCAGCTTGTTCATGTCTCTACATTTGGCCTGGCTGGCCGACTCTGTCTCCTTTACACTGTCGGTTGGTTGGGGTCGTGCCGACGTACGTCCAGCTGCCCAGCGCGTGAACTCATTCAACACGATCGTCTTCTCATTCGCTGTCTCTTGCGCCGCGGCTTCACCTTGGGCTCTAGTGAGATCCGTCACGGGATGCTCCTCCACTGTATCTCGCGGTCGCTGGGTTGGCGAGGGCTCTATCTTAGGGTCTTCTCCCAAACATTCCGGATCCTTCGGTCCTCGCGCCCCGGCGATGTTTCCGATGACAAGGTCGTAAAGGGGGGTCGTCATGCATAAAGAAGTAACCTTCCCGCTGAAGTACGGGGTTTCCACCTCAATCTCTGCTTCGGGAAGCATCCGAACCGTACGGTCAATTAGGCAAACCGGTTTCGTTCTGCCTGTCAACTCACTTTCCCGTACCAAATTTCTCCGCACGATAACCGTGGAGCTACCGGTGTCTCTTAGAACCGTAATCTTCTTGCCTGCAACCTTTCCAGGCAGCGTTGGCATTCCCTTCGTAACACCGGTTGGCTGTTTTGACATTACAGCACCCACAATAGGAATTTTCTCCCCATTCTTCAACTCTACGAATCCATCGGTGACGGCATTATTATCAGATTTCGGTGCCACTTGCACACAGGATACCTGGTGAGTTTGACTCACTCCGTTCCGACAAGCGTCTGCTTTGTGCCCAGTCTGACCACACTTGAAACATTTTACTGCCGTAGGGCTCGTAAAGATCGTTCGACAGTTTTTCGCGCAATGACCCACTCGGTTGCACAGAAAACATCGCGGAATGCTCTCTGGTGCACGCTTCTTTTCTTCGGGAGCCAATTTCTTCGAATCATCGGGACACTCCTTCTTGACCTTGGCCAAATTAGTTCCACCTTGCGTTTCCGAGAATTGATCAGCCAATTCAAGCATGTCTTCGAGTGAGTCAGCCTTCCTCTCTTTCAAGTACAGCGACAGGCTTGGGTGGCAACTAGTAAGAAATTGTTCTCTAATTAGGAGCTCTCTAAGCTCATCGTACTCCTGCGCTGTCCCTGAAAGTTCAATCCATCTGTCGAAATAATGGCAAAGTCGGGCGGCATACTGCGTAGCCGTCTCACCATCAGCTGGCTTTCCTGTCCGAAATCTGTCCCGGAATCCTTCTACAGTAAACCTAAATCGCTTCAGCAAAGCAGCTTTCACCTTTGTAGAGTTGGCTGCATCGGTCGGCGTCAGCCTACCGTACACACTGAGCGCTTCACCACTCAAGCAAGTACTCAAAGCAGTTGCCCATTGATGCTCCGGCCAATTCTGGCTCCTCGCAATCGTCTCAAATCAGTGAAGGTACGCGTCAAGGTCGTCCTTCCTTTCATCAAACGCTACGAGCAGCTTGCTTGGGTTCAAGCGGAAGCCGTGGTCCTCCCGTTCGCTGCTTTCAACTCTAGCTTGGACGGGAGTTTCACTTCGCTGTTGCAAACGGAGCCGCTCGAGTTCCATCTCGTGCTGTCGCTGCCGTTCCCTTTCCTCTATTTCTTCTTTCGCCCTCTCAGCTGCCAGTCTTTCTTTCTCCAGCTCCAACTTCAATTGCAGCTTTCTTTCTTCTCTCGCCCTTTCGGCTGCCAACTTTTCTCTCTGCAGCTCCAACTTCAATTGCTGCTCTTTCTTCTTTCAGCTGTCGCTCCTTTGCTTCTCTTTCTTCCCTCGCCCTTTCAGCTGCCAACCTCTCTCGCTCCAACTCAGCTGCTTTTTCTTCCTTGGCCCTCTCAGCTGCCAACCTCTCTCGCTCCAACTCAGCTGCTTTTTCTTCCTTGGCTCTCTCAGCTGCCAACCTCTCTCTCTTCACCGCCTCTTTCTCCTTCTGGCTTACCCACTTCCGTAGTTCGGCGCCAGAAAGACCCATCTTCTCACCAAGAGCGACTAACTTTTCGAGATCCATTGTGTCTCGCAACTCGCAAATAAAACCTTGCCGCGTGCAAGAAATATCTGCCTAAATCAGTATATCGGAACACTCTCCTGCACTCGTTAACGAGAACACTGAACAACACACAAAATCGTTCCGATAGCGCTATCAACAACTCGAGGCTCTTTCTCACTACTTTGGACACACTGTGCACCAAAAGGTCCTGTGTTGCGGACGCCAGATTAATTGTCACGCACAGGTCCCGTTAATTAGGGAGGCGATCGCCGGGCTAATTCCAAGGGCCGTAGTATCGGCCCCCCGAACCGCACCACGAAAGCGTGGACAATTTAGAAGTGGTCCTTTTTGGCGCGCCAGCGGACGCCGGCTGTGGCCCAAAGAACAAGTCAGAGCCGAGAGTTGATAAACAAACAAAACTATATTCTCAATAATGGCAGATCAGAAAAACAATACACAAATATGCTCACTCCACAATAGCTGAGTACAATATGCCACCGATCAAACAACGTACTACACAGTACAATTAGCCACACTCCAACAACGGACACAGACAACTGTACACACTACAATGCAGTCGCATGCATTGAACAACCAAGACACTTAAAGACTAAAGAGATAGAAAACCTATTCAGTCCAAAGTCCTTGGAACAAAAGTCTGAATGATACTCTTCCGAGAATTACTCACTCAAAGTCCAGCGTTGTTGCCGTTCCGCTGCCCCCTGAAGTTTCTCTTCCAGGAAACCTCGCCGAAGTTTCTCTTCCAGGAAACCTCGCCGAAGTTTCTCTTC